TTAAGTGGAGTGAGTCAGTAACAGAAAGAAAAATAATACCTAATCTCACTCACATGTGTTTTTATTAAAAACGTGGTTGTCATACAAGTGGAGAGTAGAATAATGGTTAGAGAGTCTGGGAGAGGAGTGGGGGTGGAGAGAGGAGAAGTGGTGGACTAACGGGTACAAAACTGTGCTATCTACCCTAAGTGAATCATTGTGCAGTCAATGCATGTATTGAAACAATGAATTGAACCAACCAAAAATAAATAGAAATGAATTATTTTTTAAAAAGAATATTCCCCAATAAGATCAGGAACAAGACAAAGATGGCTGTTCTTACCACCTCTATTCAATATGGTCTTAGAAGTTCTAGTCAGTTTACTTAGAAAAGAAAATGAAATAAAAGGCATCCAAGCTGGAAAAGGAGAAGTGAAACCATCTTTATTCGTGGATGATAGGATCTTGAATATTGAAAATCCTAAGGAATCCACTGAAAAACATTTAGAACTAATAAATGAGTTCACTAAGGTTGCAGGAAATGAGTTCCCATGTAGAACTAATAAATGACTTCATTAAGGTTGCAGGATATGAGTTCAATATAGTAACATCAATTGCATTTCTCTATTTTAGAAATATCAATTTTATTTCTCTATACTAGCAATGAGCCATTCTAAAACAAAATGTAGAAAAGAATTGCACATGCAATAGTATCAAAAAGAATAAAATACGTAGGAATAAATTTAACAAAAGATGTATAAGCATACTACATAAAGAGTATTACATTGCAAAAAGAAATTAAAATACTTAATAAATGGGAAGACACCTCATGATTATGTGTGTAAGAAGCCTTAATTTTGTTAGGATGGCAATATTCCTCAAATTTATCTAACTACTAAATTCAACACCTAAAAAATCCCAGCTGGTAGAAGTGATGTTACATACTGACGTGGGCCTCGACTTTATGCCGACAGGTGCTTCTACTATGGTCTTTTTTAACCTTGAGTGGCTATGTAAGAAATTTGTCTTCCCTGCAACTACCAGGCTAAGCTAGATGGATAGGCTGTGGAGAAAGAGTGGGGAGGTGGGAACCAGCCAAAACATAGGTGTTCCAGACTGAGCTATTAGAGTCATCCCAGCTAATTCACCATATATAATAGAGCACAAACAAGCCCTCCTGTCCCCTCTCTGAGTTCCTGAGCCTCAGAATTGTGATAAAGTAATGAGGAGTTGCTAGTTTCAGCCACTAAAGTTTGATGTACGTTTTGTTATGTAGCAAAGGATAACCGGAACACGTACATATGCATTCGCAATGTGCAGAAGATTTTGTGGCTTCTAAAAAGTACACAAAGTTCATTGAAGGTCGGAATGTTTAATAAAGTACTATTTTCTACTTTTCCCAATCGTTGTCAAGCTCATTTATTGGAGTGCAATGAATATGATTCTGGAGAAAAGATGTCAACGATTTGATGAAATACAGTTATTACCTGTAAAAGTAATTTTCTATATTATAGTTTTATTGAAGCACAATTGACAAGTAAAAATTGTATATATTTAAAGTGTACAACTTGACGTTTTGATATATTATGCATTGTGAACTAATCACCACGGTCTCGCTAACTAATGTATCCATCATCTCTCACAGTTATCATTTTCCTTTTTGTTGCGGTGGTGGTGTTGGTAAAACACTTTTTAGAAAATGACAGTCCTATCACAGGGACTTACTCCATAAGATAGTAGATCGTGCAAGTTAACGAGAAAGCAGTGAATTCTAATAATCCGGGTTGTATTCGATTCTATTATTTGGAATCACAGATTAGGAAACCCTTGGATAATTGATTTCTCGAAGCAGCCTATAGCAGAGAGGGAGACCCAAACTGAGTTTCTGCCTACAGGTCACACCCTGTAGGTGGCTCTTAATCTTTCTTTGCCTGTTAGTATTATTGAGTCACCCTTACCTGCTCATGATTTGTCTGTTATATGGTTTTCGATGGAAAAAAGACAGATTCCTCTGGCCTACACGAATCAGCATTGCAAGGAATTTCAAACCACGTCATTATATCTATATCTATGTGCATACACTGTACCCATAATTAAAACTGCATGTTTGGATTTATGCTGGAAAAGTCATGAAATGTTATATGGTTGTGGACAATCCCTACAAAAAATGCATAGAGTTGTCTCTCTGTTCCTCAAGTGGACTCAGCTGTGGAGATGTGCGGGGCCGTGAGGAACACTCTCAGGTCTCTAAGCATCCACACAGGGAAGCCAACGGCCAAAGAGGCAAAGAGGCAGAGCCCGACCACAACGAACGCCAGGAAACCGTCATAGCCGCCTGCTGTGCTCGACGCTTGCCTTAGTCCCTGGTGTTGACCTTCTCCTGCTCAGTGTGGAAGAGGGGAGGAGCCCAGGCCAAGTTCTCAAAGGCCATGAGTTACAGTCACCCCCCTCTCTACGTGGAGAGCATGACCTCTCTCAAGGTGGGCAACGTGACCTACCGCACCTCAGCCAACACCCTGCGGCCACTCTTTGAGAAGTATGGGTGCATCGGCGACGTGTACATTCCACGGGACTGCTTCACTAAGGAGCCTCGTGGCTTCGCCTTTGTCCGCTTCCTGTATAAGCACCACGCCCAGGATGCCATGGATGCCCTAGATGGAATCGTGTTGGATGGCCGCGTGCTCAGAGTACAGATGGCCCACTGTAGTCATCCTACATATGGCCACCACAGCTGCCGTCGCGGAATGCCACCCCACAGGTACGAGGGAGACAACTATGCACGTCAGAGCTGCAGACCAAGACCTCGTCGTCCTAGCCATTCCAGTAGGAGGGGCTGATCCAGATCCCGATGCCGACTTGGATTCCGACCCAGGAGTAGATCTCACGTCAGCTGCTTGAGGTCTAGGTCTCGCTCCCGCTCTCCTTCTCGCTCTCACCGTAGATCTTCATCAACCCCTAGATCCGGGTCAACCCAAAGATCCATATCCACGTCCTCCTCGGTGTCCAGATCTCGCTCGTGGACCGGGTCGAGCTCTGGGTCCAGAAGTCTTCCACCTGGCTGCAATAGGGGTTCTGAGGCTGGATCACGATCCAAGAGTACCTCCAAGTCTCCTGAAGAGGAAAGAGTTGGTTAGTGACTCACCAGGAAGCAACCTGAGGACTGGGCTGCGGAGGGGAGGAGGGGCGGGACGGGAAGGTAGAGTCATTTGATCAAACAGTCCTTGAAACAAGCCACTATCACTTGAAAAGTTGATTTCGTAACATGTTGTCTAACTTTTTACCTGTTCTAAGCCTTGCCTCAGGTAGTAAACTTCAGTTTTGTATGGTATTTGGCAGTTGCTATTTGAATCATAGTTGAAAATCTTGTTAGGGAGGTGAAAGACTTCAATTTTCATTATTGGTTTGAGTAATATGGTATTTTGCAGTTGCTATTTGAAACATAGTTGAAAATCTTGTTAGGGAGGTGAAAGACTTCAATTTTCACTATTGGTTTGAGTATCTGAAGTAACGTTTCATTTTCTTCAGAGTGCTGACTTTTGTGTGTTTGTTTGAAAGTAAACTATTAAACGCATTTGTGGCCTACTTATTTAAGGAAATGTGTGCAGCCATTTCCTAATGAGTAGTCGAAAACTGTCTAGTAATTAACTCATTATGGCCTTCATTCTTTAAAATTAAAAACCTTTAAACTGGTATAAATTCAATTACATGTGCCATTTATCTACAGGCCTAAATGATAACCTGAACTTGCAATTGTACAAAGACATTTTAGGTGAAAATAATTGATTTTATATAATTGATTCTATAAAATCCTCAACTAGTACATGTCTTTCTTTCTGATATAAAGAGCTGCCATTTACGCTGCCCTAATTATAATTTTTTTTTTAGATTACCGTTACCTATAGATTTCTTACAGATTTAAGTCCACAGTGGAAATTACTTTTTTTCCCAGATCTAAAATGAAGTTTTAAAACCAGTCCCTTAGATGTCTACTGTGTAAACCACACTACTAAAAC